TTCAACTGCTTGTAGACTTTGATCAGGTCTACAAATACCTTCACACCCGGAGGAGCATTTGGTTGAATAACCAGCAATTTTAGTCTGGAAGAGTTGACACATCAAAAGCCCATCATAGCATGAAATAGGGACACAGAATAAGATTTCTTTGAGTTCTTTGAGTTCCTAGATCAAACCATTCCTGAGCTCCTTACTACTACCAGCATGTTCCAACTGAACATTTCAAAAAATCTGACCATGGGTATCTCAAGCTGTGCTTTCTGTAACTCACAACTTTTAGTCCTAACTGACCCAAGAGGGGCCCAAACAAAGGAGGTGACAGTTCTGACCAGACCTCTCAAAGAGGGCTGGGTTCCAGTCTGGGTTCCAGCTAATGGGAGACACATTGATACACACCAGGATGGATAAAGGAACAGTCATTACCATTTAGTGGGGAGATGTTTACTGGCCTCCTTGCTGTGGACAAAAAGACAAAGAGGACACTTGCTCTGCCCCTGGGGGACAGACGAACAAGTGGACAATGCCATGGCAAAGCCAAGGAGAGTGAAGGGGCCATGGGAGCCTGTGCAGGCAAGTGGAAGGAACCTAATCCAGCAAGGCAGGCTTCCTGGAGAAAGTGACATTTCAGCTTGGTCTGGCAGGTAAGAAGAAACAAACCAGGAACAAGCAAGGTCGGGGAAAGACATTCCAAGAAGAGAGAATGGCACATATGAAGGCCAAAGGTCACTTGCATGTGGTAACCACAAGCCCTAGGGATTGCGGATGCTGTGTGATTCAGGTAACTTTACCTTTCTGTGCGCCAGTGCCCTTGAATGATGAGACTAGACCAGATGCATTAATCCTTGTACAGGACTTGGAGGAAGGCAGCATTCCAGGATTAGTTTATATCACCATCATTACTGCCATCATCATCATTGTCAATATCTGATAAAAAGTGTGGGAAAGACTGGCAGAGATGGCTAGAGAGCTTGGCCTGGACCAGGCCACAGACCTCAGACTATCTTCCAGGCCTCAAGGAACCAGGGGAAAATATGAAACAGACGCTGGCCAGGATGGATTTCTGCTTTATGAAAGGCTACTGGAAGGAGAAAGGACTCTGGGCAGAGAGATGGTAACAGAGATGCAATTGTGGGAAAGGATCACTGCCCATGGGAAAATGTTTATGAAATTGCTTGCTCAGAAAAGAGTCGATGCTGAGAGACAGGGACGAGCGGTGATAGACAGATGGAGGGCTGAGAAACACCAAGGGCTGTTCTGTAATAGAAGGTGCTGGAGTTTTAGATCATGGAAGGGAAGCTTAAAGAGTAATGAGCTCCCCATCCAGGGAGGTATATAAGCAGACTCTGGATGAACGCTTGACAAGGAAGCTATAAAAGAAGCATAAGCTCCAGGTGGGTTGAGGCTGATCATTTCCAAGTTCCTTGCAGCCTTGATCTCTGTTCTCCTACAGAACCCCAGAGAGACGGTATGCTAGTTTTCTGCTGCTGCTGTAACAAAATCACTATAAATGGAATGACTTAAAACAACAGAAATTGACTCTCTCATAATTCTGGAGGGCAGAAGTTCACCTTGGGTCCCTCTAGACTACAATCAGGGTCTTGGCAGGGTTTGTTCCTTTCTGAAGGCTCTAGGGAACAATCTTTTTTTTTCTTCTTTCCTCTTTTCTGCTTCTAGTGACGTCCTGCATTCCTTGGCTTGTGGCCTCTTCCTCTGTCTTCGAAGCCTGCAGCATAGCATCTTCCAAATTCCCTCTCTCTCCCTCACTTTCTCACACTCTCTTATCCCGCGTCCCCATGCCTGTCCCGCATCCCCACAACACCGTTCACAGATGGAGCCATCACCAGGGAGTGGTTCCCGGGACACCAGGATTTCCACACCCCTTCGCTTGTGTGTTCAGTGAGTGAATTGGTCTTTCTCCTCCTTGCTGAGGACAGCATTCCTGCCATCCACTCTTTCATCCTAATGTCCATCTCAGGACCGCACACACTAGATTCTCAATAAATAAAGAAGAGTCCAGAGAATGAATGAAGAATCCCTTTAAATAAAATGGCTGGAAGATACCATTCTAGCTGAGAAACATCCACCCCCTCATTAGCTGTGGTCATTCGGCTCTCCTGGCATAATGAAATCCCTGTGATGGGACCTCTTGTTTCTCTCTTGCATCACGGGGGTTGGGAGAAACCTTTGGAAGAAGACAAAGGCTTTAGTCTATGGGGAAATTCCAGCCTGGATTTTTAACGTTCACATTCCAGATGGAATAACCTGATGCTGAAGGGGCTAGGGAAGGGACCGGGGAAGGGGGCTGGCTACAGGAGGAAGTGCCGTGTCACAGGAGACCTTTGTGAGCAGGCACACACATCCGGACCCAGGGACCGAGGCATCCAGGGCAGGGTCTTGCCTGTCTGTGGGGGGAGCTGAGTCAGGCTGTGCTCTATGCGTTTCTTAATGAACTTGTGCCTCGCTTGGAGTAACAAGATTAACAGCCACCAGGTTAATTCAGCAAAGCTTTCCTGAGCATCCGCTCTGCCCAGCTGGGTGCTGGGTGCTGAGAAGCCAAGATGCAGAAGGTGCACATGGTGCGTGGGAAGACAGACAGGATCCGCTGAGCAGGATGTCTGGTGCTTAGGGTGCAGGGGGTGTTTCTGATTGGCCCAAGGAGCCCCATCAACAACGACACACGTGTCCAGGATGGAACCAGGCTGGGTCTCCCCGCGATACATTTATCTCACCATCAAGTGTGCAGAAAAGCCTGTTTTCCAGCCTAGCGACGTCTCCTCGATCGGATGGTCCAAGGACTTGTTTTGCTGCGTGGGTTTGTTTTTCTTCCCTGTCCTGAGTTTAAAGCTTCTTCAAGGAGCACGTCCAGAAGCCCTGGGGCGTTTCAAAGCAGACTGGAATTCCCGTCTGGGGCTGATTTGTCTGCCAGGGAGGCCCACACCCCAGGCACCACCGTGGAGAGAGTGAGGAGACCCCTTCATTCAGAAGAAAAACACATCTGTGTTTGCCGCTTGCACCTCCAAACACACGTTCTGCCCAGTCTGAGAGGGCACCCAAGAGGCGGTCCCCAGGCCCTCTCACTTAAAGTGTTTAGAGAACAGGCTCCAAACCAAACAGGAAGGCAAAGCTGTGATCCCTGCCTGGGGCTTGAACACAGAAAAGTAGCAAAATAGAACGTCAGGGTGGGAAAGGACCTCCAACTGCCCGGGGGGTTGCTGCTCTGTTTACGGACAGAGGATGGGCACCAGGGTCAGGAAGTGATTTTTCAGGGCAGACAGAGACAAGGAGGGCCTGGAGCTGGACTTTCATCCCTGCTGTTGATCCTCGATGCCGCCCCACCTCCAGGACACCATGCTCCTTCCCCTTAATCCTCTGGTGCTCCCCTTGGTTTTCTTCTGGGAACGTGTGCCCGACAGGCCCCTCTTTTGCCCTCTGTCTCTCCTTATTGACCTTGTGACCTCAGACAGTTTCATTGGCCCTGAGACCCTCAGTTTTTCCATCTGGGAAATGGGAATAACCCCACCCACTTTACTGGCTTTCTGCAAGGTTCATGACATTTGCGACATCTGTGTAGTTGTATAAATGAGGCTGATGCCTCATGCTGGTGCATATTCGATGCTCGGTGTTAAGGAAGAACCTTCTTCTCTTTTGACAGCTCCTTCTCCCAGCTTGTTCCTTGGTTTGGGCAGCCCAAGAGCTCAGTCCCTGACTGCAAGAATCCTGCTCCTCCCCAGTTCCACACTGTGGGGTGGGAGAACGGGAAACAGGTAAAGCACAGAACCTCATGGGATCTATTTGCTTCTAGCTTTACGACCTTGGGCAAATTGCTGGAACTCTGTAAGCCTCGATTTTCCCACCTGGAAAATGGGACTGTTTTCCGTCCTTGCCTCCCAGGGACGCTTGTAGGAAAGGAGACAGTGACATTAGCTCCGACTGGGATAATAGCTCAGCTTCTTTTATGCCTCACCATGCTCTTATCATCCCTAGTTAAGGAGAGAGAAGAGTTAACAAACTTGCCCAAGATCATCGAAGAAGCTGGTGACCACTCAATCCGCTGAGCACCTAAGGGCAGCGTTTACTCCTTTAACTGGTCCCCATGCTCCTCTGTTTACAGGAGAGCAGCCTGCAGAGAATCATTGCTAAAAGAGACACATTTAGGGGACTTCCCTACTGGTCCAGTGGCTAAGACTCTGTGCTCCCAATGCAGGGGGCCCACGTTCGATCCCTGGTCAGGGAACTAAATCTTGCATGCCACAGCTAAGACCTGGTGCAGTCAAGTAAATAAAAAACAGAGAGAGACATTTGGAGAACCCACCCTTTCCGAGGGTCTGCTCTGTACACAGGGCTTGTGCCAGGAGCCTCAGGTGGACCAGCCTGGGGGATGTTCCCACACCCCCACCTCAGGTACTAGCATGAGCCCATCTTCCAGATACAGAGATGCAGCTGCTCAGAGGGCAGCTGGCTAGTTAGTGGCGGGTGGATAGTGATACCCAGCTGCCTGATCCCAAGTTCTGGATCACTGGTGCTCGATCCATCCCTTCTGGTCCCTTACCCCCATCCCATCCAGTCCTGCTCCAAGAGATCAGTCAGTTTAAAAAACAAAACAGTCCCCACTCTGACTGAAAGGGCTGACTGCCCCATCGTTGGACCACCCACTCAACCATCCTATCTCTCTCTTGTCCTCCCCTCTTCTACCAGTCCTGCCACTTCAGAAAGAGCGCCTACCAAGAGAGAAAATTCTATTGCACATTGTGTGAGAGGAAGACCCCGCTTCCCTTCCAAGTGCCCCGCACCCCAGCCCAGACAGCCCCTCCTCTCAACAGGGGTGGTGGGGGCTTCAGGTCTGAAAGGCTCCAGTGTCCCCCAGCCAGGTGGGCGTGGTCTTGGCCTTGGCTGGGCCCCACAGGAAACAGAGGAGACACAGAGGAGACACAGAGGACCACCCCCGGACCTCTGCTTAAAGGGGCGGCTGGCCTGGGCTGCAGTCAGGCCGCCTTTGCACCATGACACCCCAGATGTTCCCCCTGTTGCTGCTGCTACTCCTGGCCGGGCTCCCCGCCACACGGCCGGCTCCCCCGACCTGCTACTCTCGGATGCTGGCCCTGAGCCGGGAGATCACCTCTGACTTCCAGAGCCTGCAGGCCACAGAGCCCTTGGTGAGTGCCCTCGGCCCCCACCTGAATGAGGACAGGATGTCCATGCAGACCCAGTTCTCAAAAATTTGCCTTTGGACTGGGGGCTGGAGGGGGACGGGTCAGGGAGGAAATGTTATTTTTCTTTTCCAGTCAGTGTTAATTTCCAGGGTATCTGTGCTTTATTCCCATCCTATTAAATGTCGACTATTTGTGCTTCCTCTTTACCACAAAGAAAATGCACTCCAAGACATCATAACTTTTGTTTATAACTAGCTGACTCAATGGACATGAGTGTGAGCAAACTCAGGGAGATCGTGAAGGACAGGGAAGCCCGGCGTGCTGCAATTCATAGGGTCCCAAAGAGTCGGGGGCGACTCAGCGACTAGGGAGCAACAAGCTAGCAATAATCAGAGGATCTGTTTTAAAATGTAAAAAGAGAGACGGAGAGAGAGAAAGAAGTAAAGCTCCCCTAGAGTGTAGAACTCCAACTTAAGGAGGACCAAGGAGTTCAGCTTGTCTAGTCTCCCCACGAGCCAGCAGGAGCTAATGGGATGACTCCTGCACCAGCCCCACCTCTTACCTGCTAGAGGACCTGAGCAAATTATCCGGCAGAATCAGAGAATCCCAGCGTCCTGAGCTGTGAGGGCCGAGCCCCCACACCCACTGTGGGCAGCTGGAGGGCAGCAAACTGGAATGCAGACACAGTCCGCCTGGTGGAAACAACCCTGGACTTCAGCCACTGTTCACACCGCTCTGTTAAGTGGAAGACGCAGGGGCTCGGAACCCAGAGTCCCCAACGGGCCACCCAGAGCTAGAATCCGGCCTCCTGACTGCTCTTCCAGAGTAGACACAAGCTAAATTAAACTCCAAAGCTCTGGCAAAATTTAGCAGTGTCCCTTTATCGCTTTTGAACCCTTCACATAAGATGCACTGTTCTCAGATGTGGGGTTTATGATACCTTAACACCTCCTTTGTGTTTTCTTTTTGAAAGTTAAATAATGTGTATTTTTTTCTTAAGTTATGAAGCTCATATACTTCGAAAACAGTTGGAAAGGCACAAAAGACAAAGAAGAAAATAAATATTACTGCAATCCTACCACCTAGAGGTGACCTGCTGCCATCACATTCAAAGGATAGGATTTCAGTTCTTGATCTGTGCATAGATATCCAATCCAAGTGCGTGTGTATAGACAAATCGAAACAAACAGCACAGTGGTTCTGCAGTTTACTTTCTAACATGCTGTCAAATTAATATTCCTTTGAAACAGTTTGTATTGTTGCACCCTAATTTATCCACAGATTCCTTGCTATTAGATACGTGGAGCATGGGTGTGTAGAGCGTGCGTGCGTGCTAAGTCTCTTCAGTTGTGTCCGACTCTTTGCAACCCCATGGACTATAACCTGCCAGGCCCCTCTGTCCATGGGGATTCTCCAGGCAAGAATACTGGAGTGGGTTGCCGTGCGCTCCTCCAGGGGATCTTCCTCACTCCAGGATCGAGCCATCGTCTCTTACATCTCCTGCATTGGCAGGCGGGTTCTTTACCACTAGTGCCACCTGGGAAATCCAAATATGTAGAGCAATCATCTAAAAAAAAAAAAAAAACCCATGATTTTAAAACTTAAAATGCATAGGCTCAGAGCTGGAAGAAGTGGAGAGATTACGTGTTCTAACTCTCTAGGCTCACAACTGGGAAACTGAGTCACGAAAAAGAAGATCTATCCCCAGCAACAAGGAATTACTGGTTGGAAAGGGCAAGAATCTGGGTTCTCGGGCTTTAGGCCAGCACAGAAGCAAAAGTGAAACAGAGTGATATAAAAGTATACCTACATATACAGCTTTCTATTCCTATAGTATATTACAGGTACCACTATGTCTAGATTACAGTTATGTGTGGATGCATGCTCAGTCACTAAGCCGTGTCTGATTCTTTCGCTACCCCGTAGCTTGCCAGGCTCCTCTGTCCATGAGATTTTCCAGGCAAGAATACTGGAGTGGGTTGCCGTTTCCTTCTCCAGGGGATCTTCCCGACCCAGGGATTGAACCTGGGTCTCCTGCCTCTCCTGCATTGGCAAGGTGGTTCTTTAGCACTGAGCCACCTGGAAAGCCCCCAGACTATAATGATAGAACGGTTTAAATATATATACATACATAGTCACAGACATACTTACATATGTCTCTCTCTACACACACACATGTATGAAACAGTTCCCTAACTCATAGTATATGACATAAAGGTGGCATCCTAAAAGTCAAATTCTAGAAGAGCAGTTGACCCTGGGGGAATGTGGCAAACGGTACAAGAATGTAAGTGTGTGTCGGCATCAAGGAAGTCACTGGGGATCTGGGGCTGGGCCGGCTGTCTGGGGGCTGGCAGAGAGACTTCTGTGACCGGGGTGTGTCCCTGTGGGCATCCCAGAAAGTCATTTCCCTTCCCACAGGAGGCGTGTGTGAGATACCTGCCCAGGCTGTATCTGGATATACATGTAAGAGCGGTCTGCCTCCCCGGGGCGGGGGCGGGGGGGCATGGTCGGGGGATAGGGAGGCATCCGGTGAAGAAGGACCAGCCGCCCCCAGCTCCTGTCCCTCTGACTACTGACTTCTCGCACGAGACCCCTCCCTGTTATCCACTCGCAGAATTACTGCGTGTTGGCCAAGCTGCGGGACTTTGTGGCATCATCCCAGTGCTGGAAGGTGGCCCAGGTGGACACCTTGAAGGACAAAGTGCGGAAACTGTACACCATCATGAACTCGTTCTGCAGGAGAGTGAGTGACGTGTTGAATGTTCTTTTCCCACTTGTTATGGGTCAAGAAATTAAGAAAAGGGTTTAGGGGAACAGGGGGACTGGGAGGAGGAAGAGAAAAGGTTATGGGGTGCTTCCAGTTCACAAAGCCCTTCCTCGACCCTGTTGCTCTTGCTGAGTGCTGGGGGCCCCGGACAAGGCCCCTCACCTCCACCAGCTCCACCTGCAGCAGCCAGGACCACGTGCAAATCGTATAGAACAGAGTCTGCCAGGAGTCAAATGGGGTGGGATGAGAACTGTGGAATTCTGAGAACTCCCGAGCCCTGGAGACCGGGTTAGAGGAGACTTTCTGGGGGAGGGGCTTTGGGGGTGCTCTGTGATGGGAGGACTCCGCATCAGAGGGAAGAAGACAGGAAGAGCAGAGAATAGCACTGGTTAGATGTAGAGAGTTGGGCCGTGTGGTCCTGGGGCAGAGACTTCAGCATCTGGCAGACCTGAGCCCCTGTCTTCGTCCCTGTCTTGCTTCCTGGAGTCTCGCACCCTCTCCCCCTCTGAGCCGCAGCTTCCGCATTCATGTAGAGTACCCATCTCCTGAGATCATTGGGAGGATAATAATACCGACACCCTGACCGTGCGTGTGCTGGGTGCTGCAGTAACTCCTTGGTCCTAAGATCTCTAGCAAGGTGATTGAACATAGAAAGAAGGTAACTTAAACATAGAATGCCAAGCATGAGGCCTGACCCAGGAAACTTTAATATTCAGCTATTAAGATTTCTAGCTTTAAAATTTATTATGATTTATTTGGGTTTGATCCCTGGTCAGGGAAGTAGATCCCACATGCCACAAAGAAGACATGGCATGGCCAAAAAAATAAAAATAAATACATATTTTAAAAAGATTTATTTGTTACTTTGCATCAGGGATGAGACATGCTTTTCCTACTACACCCACTTCCCTCTTCATTCCCCTCTCTGCTTGGTGGAGCTGGGGAGAGAGGAAGAAAACATAATTGTAATGCAATCTGAGAATGCTGCTATTGACTCTGAAGTGTTTGAGGGTGAGACCTAGTGCTGTTACTCCTGGTATCCCCAATGCCTGGCCCAGAGTTGTTGCACTTTACCCATCTATCCATCCATCTGGTCAACCAACACACACACACACACACACACACACACACACACACACACACACACACACACGTGAATTCAATAACAAAGGAATATGAGATTCAATGGGTGAAGTTTTCACACAAAGGGGAACAACTGAACAGCCTTTGAGGATAAGACTATTGCTGTGCATGGGCTCCATGGTCCCCTTCAGTGATGTTCCTGTTCATTGCACATCTTTTTCAGGATTTGGTGTTCCTGTCGGATGACTGCAATGCGTTAGAATACCCAATCCTAGTGACCACGGTCCTCCCGGATCATCAGAGCTAAGGCAGCTCAGACCAGAGACAGAACCTTGGGGAATGAAGTTATGTCAGCTGCCCAGACACAACAGACTAAAGCCGTGGCCCCCACAGCTTTCCTTGAAACTGTCACGAGTTTCTGTCCACCTTCTGGAAACCACAGCTTGTGCTCCTACCTTGGAATCAATTCTGAACATAATTAGAAGCTTTGCTTCTCATCCCCCCTTGTTCCTTTCTTGTCAGGATGGTTAGATACACAAGCATGTTGATTTGATCACTGAGAAGAAAAGGGCAAACCAGCTTCTCTCTTTTGAACAGTAAGCTTGAGACCAAGCAAAACAGTATGCTTGTGGTACTACTTTAATGGCATGGTGTTACCGTTTTTCTCTCTTGATAGAAACCTGCTTACATTAACCATGCTTCTATTTTATACCTTCTTCAACTACAAATGTTCCTTACAGTTAGCTTTCATTTTTTAGAAGAAATTTCACTGCCTGTAAGATGTATTTGTAAGGTTTGTAATGACACAGTGCTGATGGGAACCACTCTATCATTGAAAGGTGATGAAAATCAAATAAAGACTATCATGACGGTGAGAAACATGTGTCCTGCTGTATTCCGTCCAAGGTGGGTGTCAGGGTGATTAATTCATGCTCTTTCTGCAAGTCGCTGCTTTTAGCAAGATACGTCTTTCTCCTTCTTTCCATAGAGCATAGGTATTTCTGGGTCTGTTTCAAGCCACTTGTGTAAATCTGTTTTCAAAGCATCAGAAGATGTTCCAGTTTATGTTTGGGGAAGACTGTATCCTGCATCGTATGCATGACATATCACAAACATCAGTTCAGTAAGGGCTCATCACAAACCTAGACATGGGCATCATAGGAGGCTGAGGCTCGGGTCCGTTAGGTAACTTGCCCAAGGTCACCAGTTGGTAAGTGGGGAGCCTGGATTGAACTCAGGGGCTCCAAAGCCCACACTCTCCCCAGTGCCCCAGACTGCTTTTCTGCAGGTCAAGGATGCTTGCTTAATAAATTCACAAAATTGACAGTATCATCTCAGTTAAGTAACTGGATTGTTGAAAAGGTTTCCAAATATTGATTTTTTAAAAAGCTCACATGCCACACCAGGGGCCTTTTTGTTTTCTTTCCTTCCTTTTGTACACGTGGGCCATACTTTTCTTCCCTGAGCTTTCATGTCTCTGACTTAGGTGATCTATGAGAATTATTTAGCAGGCTATGCGTTTCTATTTAGAAGCACAAGTGCAGAGCATAACTGTACTGGTGTCCCAAGGCTGCTGTAACAGGGTACCACAGACTGGGGCTTAAATAGGAGAACTGTATTGTCTCATAGTCCTGGAGGCTAGAGGTTCCTAAATCTAGTGTTGGCAGGGTCCTCCTCTCCCTGAAGGCTTTAGGATAAAGGGTCCTTCCTTGTCTCTTCCTGTCTTCTGGTGTTTTCTGGCAATCCTTGGCATTCCTTGGCCTGTAGACACATCAATTCAATCTCCGTCCCCGTCAACATGTGGTATGTATCCTGCATCTGTGTCTCTGTGTCCAAAATCCCCTCTTCTTAAAGTAAATTTTCTCTGTTTGCAGATGACATGATCATAAATACAGAAAATGCTAAACACCTCATCAAAGAAAAGCTGTTAGAATTAATAAGTGAATTCAGTGAAGTTACAGGAGAGAAAATCAATATATGAAAATCAGTTGCATTTCTATACACTAACAACAAACTTTCAGAAAGGGAAATTTTTTAAAATCCCATTTACAATAGTATCAAAAAATAATGCATATGAATTAATTTAACCAAGAAGGTGAAAGACCTATACACTGAAAACAATAAGAATTGATGAAGGAAATGGAGGAAGACACTAATAAATGAAATGTTATACCATTTTGATGGATTGGAAGAATTAATACCATTAAAATAAAAATCTTGTCCATACACCCAAAGTGATCTGCAGATTCAAGACAATCCCTATCAAAATTCCACTGGCATTTTTCACAGAAACAAAAAAGGCAACACTATAATAAAAGTAATATGGAGCTACAAGCCATATGCAGTTTGGCTTGTTTTCTCAAGCCAAAACAATCTTGAGAAAGAGCAAAGCTCAAAGCATCACCCATCCTAATTTCAAATTGTACTAAAAGCTATAGTCAAGACAGTGTGGTACAGGCACGTGGGTCAGAACACACAGAACAGGGGAAGAGAATGGAAAGCCTAGATACGCACCCGTGTGTAACTTTGACAGGGCCACCGAGAATACATTATGGGAAAGACAGTCTCTTCAATAAATGTTGCTGGGAAAACTGGTATGCACAAGGAAAGGATGAGACGAGACCCCTATCTTACACAACACACGAAATTGGACCAAAAACTGAAGTGTAAGACCTGAAATCATACAACAACCAGAAGAAAACACAGGGGAAAAGCTCCCTAACATTGGTCTCAGCCATGATTTTTTGGTTGTCGCACTTAAAGCACAGGTATGGGCTTCCCTGGTGGCTCAGATGAAAACAAATCTGCCTGCAATGCAGCAGATCTGGGTTTGATCCCTGGGTCAGGAAGATCCCCTGGAGGAGGGCATGGCAACCCACTCCAGTATTCTTGTCTAGAGAATCCTATGGACAGAGGAGTCTGGAGGGCTGGAGTCAATAGGCTCACATAGAGTTGAACACAACTGTTATGCCCAATATCCGAATCCCCGAGCGGGAAGAGAGAAGGCCTCCAAGACAATGCAACTCGCAAAAAGGGAAGTTTATTGCTGACTCGAGTCAGGGTTCCTGCCGCATCCAATGCAGTGGTGCGGGGTCAGAGAGCCCCGAGCCCAAGCTGTTACACAAATTTATAGGGTGAGCACACGCCGTTGGTAGTTGGTTTAAGCAGATTGGTTACAAGTTTGCAAAGCAATTTCATTGGTCAAACACCCTCAAAACTTTCGCGCAGGCAGGACTTTCCCGGGGGTTTCCACCCCATTCCTAATTGGCAAACAGCGGTCAGTATTAAGCTGATTGGTTGTATCCAGGTGGCCTGATAATCTTACCTCCCAGAAGTAGGAAGGCCTACTCCTAATCTAAGTTGCCTGCCATGGCGTTACTTCTGCTTGCCTCACAACAACTAAAGCAATCTAGCATGCATGCAACAAGAGCAAAAGTAAACAAGTGATGTTATATCAAACTTAGAAGCTTCTGCACAACAAAGGAAGCCAGCAACAAAATAAAAGGGAAACGTATGGAATGAGAGAAAATTCTCGCAAACCATATATTTGATAAGGAGTTAATACCCAGACTATATAAGAAATTTTTCAATAGCAAAAAATTCCAAGTAATGGCTCAGCTGGTAAAGAATCCGCCTGCAATGAGGGAGACCTGTTTGGGTTTGATCCCTGGGTTGGGAAGATCCCCTGGAGAAGGGAAAGGCTGCCCACTCCAGGATTCTGGCCTGGAGAATTCCATGGACTATATAGTACATGGGGTGGCAAAGAATCAGACACGACTGAGCGAACTTCACTTTCACTTTAACTTTCAATCTGATTTTTAAAGAGGCAAAGGATCTGAATAGACATTTTACCAAAGAAGACATACAAATGGACAACAGGTTCATGAGTAGCTGCTCAACATCATGAATCATGAGAGAAATGCAAATCAAAACCACGATGAAGCACCACCTCATATCTGTTAGGGTGGGTTTTATAAAAAAGACAACAGATAACAAGCTTTGCAGGGATGCAGAGAAAAGAGAATCCTGGAACACAGTTGGCAGGAGTGTAGATTGGTACAGTCATTATGGAAAACAGTATGGAGGGTCTTCAAAAAACTAAAAATAGAACTACTGTATGATCTGCCAACCCTACTTCTGAGGATATCTCTGAAAGAAAGAAAATTAGGAACTCAAAGAGATATCTGCACACCCACCTTCACTGAAATATTACTCACAAAAGCCAAGATATGGAAATAATCTAAATGCTCATTGATGGATGAACAGATAAAGAATTTTACGACTATCTATAATGAATTATTATTCAGCCACGAGAAAGAAGGAAATCCTGCCATTTGCAACAATATGAATGAACCAAGAGGACATTATGCTAAGTGAAATTAGCCAGACAGAGATAAATATTGTAGGATCTTACTTATATATGGAAACTGAAAAAAAAGAACTCATAAAAACAGAGTGGAATGGTAGTTATCAGGCACTGGAGAGTGGGGAAAATGGTGAGATACTGGTCAAAAGATAGAAAACTTCAGTTATAAGATTAATAATCTCTGAGAATGCCGTGTACAGCATGGTGACTGTAGTTAACAATTGTGTTGTGCACTTGAAATTTGGTAGCAGATTTGGTAATTCTAAGCATTTCTCACCATACACGGGTAAAATAAGTAACTGTGGGAAATGATAGATGTGATAATTAACTAGATTGTAGGAGTTACTTCACAAAGTATAACTTCCATCAAATCATCACTCTGTAGATTTTAAACATATACAGTTTTACTGGAAAATCATTCCCCAATAAAGCTGAAAAAAAAAGCAGCAAAAGAAACAAAAATTTCCTCTTCTTACAAGAATACCAATTATTGGTTTAGGATAAAGTGTGACCTCATTTTAATTTGATAACATCTACAAAGATGCTATTTCCAAATAAATTCTCTTTCATAGATCTGAGGGGTTAGGACGTAAGGGTATCTTTTGGGGAGACAAAATTCAACCTACAACAGTCAGTCTGTCAAGTGATAATGTTGTCACAAAGGAAAATTATGCTGCAAACTAACCCTTTGTTGCCACCATCTACCACTTCCTGCCAGAGGCTAAACGTGGGTGCCTGTTTAAACACTAGCCCACTGAACCTTCACAATGATGCTGCTGCAGGCTGGGAGTTCTCAAACCCAATTTACAAGGTAAGAAATGCACTTGGGATCAAAGGTTAAGTGATTTTCCCAGACAGCTGATAAAGAGTGGCAAAGAGATTCCAGATAAATAGATAGGCACTAGAAGTGTTTATTTCACAGCTCTGCTAGTGAGTGAAAG